TTTTAAAAGGAAAAAACTCACTGTACTGGTCAAAAAAAAAAAGAAGAAAAAACTCACTGACACGCACACTTGAAGACTGATATATTTAAAGTACACTTGTTTTTATATATTTGATCCAAATAAAATTCATTAAAAAAAAAAAGTTGAAATCTCCTGCAATATGGAAGCGTAAAGCCCAGAGACTAAGAAAGTCAATGAGGCTGACCCAATAGTGGATCCTACTAAAGGAGTAAAGTCCTATCCGTTCGGTTACTCTGTCATTATCTACTTTACTACCAAAGAATACTTTCACTTGTTATCTCTAATAAACGCAAAAATATGCTTTTCTTTTTGGAATAAATAAGTGTATGAAATACGACATAGAACTAGCATAAATGATAGGCAAATTTTTATTTAAATTTATTGTAAACATAAAAATTAGCATATATATATATATATATATATATTCCTGATGGGTCTTGTGCGCATGACAGGGGTATGGTTGCTGCATTGCCATCTGGAGCGGCACATTGCTTGGGGGATGGAGACTGTGTTCATCGTGAGGAATGGGTTAAGGTCCAATCAAACTTTGCCTCCTCCCCCACCTGACATGCCACGCTGTTGAGTCTTTTTCAGACTTTTCAAAGTGTGTGAAAAATGTCTCTCCACAATAAGATTGATGCTTCCCCCAATATAAGTTCATCACAATGCAATTTGATTTACAAGGTTGTTTCTCATTCAATAATCGGTTTGAATGTATAGGATTATTCGATGCTTGTCGATATCTCAGAAACTTTGCCTATTTGATATAAACTGTGTTTTGGACGTAAATTAGTAGTTCATGATTTGGGATTATGATGATGGGAAATACGAGTGTGTACCGTGTTTTGTAATAACTTTCTCTTTGCTCAATCTCTCTGTTATAAACTTTTGATAAATTTCAACGTCAATAATTCAAATCGAATGGTATCATAGCGTAAGAGAGACCCCAACTTTACTCGTGTCAGATTGTGTTCACCTGTGTGGTACAAGTTGTGAACAGATCGATAATGATGACCAATTCTAACAGTGAGTGAATGACGTGGTGCTCCAAAACTAATTAATTAAAGTGACACCCTGAGGAAAGAGATAGAGATCAGGAAGAGGACGCAAGGTAGGTCTTTCTTAATTATGGAGGGACCCATGTTCTTAAAAGCAAGGCTAATCATCTTTCTACTTCACCCATACTTTGCCGGACCTTGTAATCCCAACCTTACCAATAATGTGCCCGTTTGTTTTAGCGTTTCCACGGACAAAAAGTAACTTACCAGGTCAAAACGCGCGATGGAGCAGATTGAAGGAGCTGGGAGTGTTTCTTATGGCTTAAAAACAATTTACCTTCTGAATAAAAAGTCATTTAAGTCATAAGCTAAAATTTAGAGCTTATCACTTTTGAGAAGTGGAGAGAGAAGATGAAAAAAAGTTAGGTCCCGCTTCTTTAAAATAATTTATCTTAAATCATATTATACTATCTTACTTATATTCAAACTTAGACTTATCTTTTTTCAAGTACAAAATATATCTAATTTGTAAATATTAAAAAAACATTTTTTTACCAGCAATAATAACGAAAACTAAGACATTCTACACTGCCTAAAAGATATGGCACTCTATAAATGGCAATGCAGCAATTAATATATAAGCATAATATTTAGTGTTTGATAGGCTAAAAATGAAAATATTGTACCTAGGGGTTGGTATAGCTCTGAACCTGATGGCGATCGTTAGTTCTCTGCTCTTGCACCACACCTCAGAATCTTAAGCTCTGTCTCTCGCAAATAAGCCCATATGAACAAGATGGCTCACAGAAGGGGGTCGATGAAGAAAGAATGGGAGAAGCTTATTATCTAAACGAACCACTCGGGTCCAGCTTAACTTATAGCATCCTGTACGTTCTTGTAGTGCATCAAGTGTGAAGTACCAATATTGTACTGCATTTCTTCATTATGCAAAATTACACATAAGACCCTGGAAGAAAGACAATGAAATTAAACTATAAAGGACCAAGAATTCATAAATTTATTAGGAAAAAACCCAGGGTTATCTCAGTTGAATTCCAAAAGTTTAATGATTAATCTCGAAAATTCAGTCAGAGGTATTGAATATTTAGTTGTCAATTTGTTATAAGTTATGAAGATTCTATAAATCTTAACAACTCAATTACAAGTCTCGACAACTCAGCAGTAGAGGTGTTCAAGGTCGGCCCGTCTCGGTCCCAGTCTTATTGGGACGGGACGGATCCGTCCCGAAATTTTCCGGGACGGGCCGTCCCGGTTCTTTTTTTTTTTTAATTTTTTATCCTATTTATATAATATCATTTTTTTCATATTTTTTAAGATTTGAGACTATTGTATGGAACTATGGATATATTTATTTAGAGTTTTTATATTTGTTAATGATTTGAGATTATTGATTATTAGAATTTTTAGCAAGTTTTTATTGTGTTAAAAGCTTTTGTTTAGAGTTTTTAATGACTATTATATGTAATATTTTGAGCTTTTGTTTAAGAGTGTCCAAACAAATAAAAAATAAAAAGATGTTTTTATAAGGTTTAAGCCCAAAAAATATAATTAAAAAATCATATTTTTTAAAAAAAATTTAAAAAAAAACTTCGAGACGTCTCGGATCCGTCCCATCCTGATCGGGACCGAGACAACCTGAAACAGATCGGGACATAGGACAGATTTTCTGTCCCGTTACTATTCATCGGGACGGAACCGGGACAGGTTTGTCCCGATCCCGATTCGTCCTGTGAACAGCCCTACTCAATAGCCAATAATTGTAAAATGACATCAAAATGTTAGAGCTCCAGTCTTTAATGTAAGAATTAGCTAAGAGTTTGATTTAATTCTAAATATAATACTTTAATTTACTTTATCTCTTCTTAAAATATCTTTATTGGTTTCCACCAAGCACAGGATTGAAGAGAATAATTTAAGAAAACCAATACACACCTGTGACAAATAATCAACTTGACTAATTTTTTTAATATTTCCAGATTAATTATTTAACTCTTATACTATATTAAAGACAAGAGGAGGTAATATCACAAAACTTAATTCTAGCGACAAATTCGTTAAAAAAATCAAATAATTTTAGCTCCGTGGTGCTTCAATGTCGTCCTCCTAAAAAGGGTCGAATTTAGTGGTGTCCTTCAACGTAGCTAATCAGAGACGGGCACGTCCCATTTTAAGGAGTCGTTATTATTGTTGTGTAACACGTCAAACCAAACATTGTTTCCTCCGCCGTGGGATACGCCCTCATGTTGAAGCTTCTTACAGAGTCGCGCGCTGTCTTCAACTTAATTTGCGGAATTTACTGCGGAATGATTTTCCTCATATATTTAAATGCAAATGTGTGTGTTTTGATTTGTCGTAATTGAGTTCGTTTTGACCGTTTAATCTATTTAATTTGCATTTCTTTTTATTTTATCCCCCGTAACGATCTGTTCATGCACGGTCTCCCGCGCACAATTAAGGCAAGATGACTCGAACACGGTAAGCCACAGTCATTAAACTTTGTCTGACTCATTACGATGATTATCTGTCTAACTAAAACCCATAAATTTAGGGTGGAAAAACACCTCCAAAGTACAACATGGATGGCATCATCACAAAATTAAGAGACGTAATCTATTTTTGTCGTCTTAGCTTGAACGATGCTTCAATCATATTGGACAGTCGTAGTTTCTTTGATGTCCTAGTTCTTCTCTTATTAATATTCCATCCACACCCTTAATTGCTTTTCCACTAAAATCTTAATTTGTTTTGTCCTGACATGCCGACATGTTCCTTAGTCGTTCAGACTTGCATCTGGAAAATGTCATCAAAACAAGATGGACACTTCAACTCTTAAAGCAAGAGATTATGCGCTTCAACTTAGTGGGCCCATTTTGAAAGTCTCATTAAATATTAGATCTTCAGCAGTTGCCTTTTTCCTTTTTAGAGTGATTGCTGAAAATTTGTGCGTTTCAGCGATAATTTTAGAAGTTGTCATAGAATGATAGAAGGTCTGCTCCTGCTTACGATATTGTGTGCGCGAGGATGAAATACGTATGCTTACATATATGTAGATTTTCATAGAACAATATCACATCCAAGGTATATATTACATAATAAAAGTGAGATACGAACTTGAATGATCTTAGGTGTATTTTTCCTCTTTTTTTTTTGGGTTCCATTTATAAAATAAACGATGGTTATGAAAACAACAGCAAGAAGATGAGAAAGAAATAGAAATAGAAAGAAAATATTTAAAATGAAAGACAAACAAAAGACGTTAAATGAGTCTGTTCAAAACTTGCTAATTCGTCTGTTCTCCTCTTTCGTTCAATCTTCCTCTATTTAACTCGTCGTCTTCTGAAGGTGGACAAAGATTAGGTAGTTAATTAAGATTAGGTAGTTAATTGGTTTTATGAACTTATTAGGCAAGAAGATGATGAGTTGTCGTTTTCCTGAATAAGTTTATGAATTTGCATTATTGTTCTCCATGCGTGTCAATGCTTTTTCTGCATATGCATACATGATTTGAAATTTGGAAAACTGCTGTCATTATCTCCCTTAAATAGTTTATATTTAATTAGTTAAGTCGTCACATGGAACAATTTAACTATTATATGTGTATGGCACCTATATGACATATGGGACCCATTTCCAAATTTAGAGATTACGTGGTTACATGGACCCAAATTCCAATATCAACAATATTGACATCAAGTAAAGAAATGACCCGTTTTCAGGATCCCGCATGTCCTTAACATAACAGATCCCACATTTTCCCGTCAACTGTTTGTATCCATTTGGGTGGTCTAGAGGATAAGATAGTACCCAATTGTCATTACATATAGATATCAAATTAAATTACATGAATAGTACGATGTTGTGCTGATTATTAATTCATGCACCTAAATATCATCAAAATTATTCAGCAGTGCAATACTCAAAAGTTTTGAAGAGTACGTGTGTGAGCTGAAAGAAGCTTCATCAACATGGTGGCATGTCAGGTGGCGGAGGCGGCAATGTTTCATTGAACCTTAACCCATTCTTCACGATGAAGACAGTCTCCATTCCCCAAGAAATATGCCGCTCTAGATGGCAATGCAGCAACCACAGTCCTATATCACCCGAAGTTAGAGGTTTTTTAAACTAGAAATTAGAAAGAACCACTAATCTAGACTTTTTAAAGGTTAATTAGTATAGGTGTTTGATAGGTTAATTTATGTTGTAGTACGTACCTGGGTTGGTAGCCCTGAACCTGATGGCAGCCCAGCCATTTTTGGGCACAATAACTGTGTTCATGAGGGGAGGATCAACGAGATTGAAATTTCTGTAGTCCAATCGTTTGTTGAAATTCCCAAATCCATATCCAATAACATAGAAATTGAATCCATGAAGATGCATTGGATGGTCAAATCCTGCAACTAAGTTTGTCCCTTGGAAAACAAGTTCTACTATTTCACCATACTCGAGAATCTTAACCTCTGTCCCCCGCTTAGGTGTCTGCAGAACTAAAGGCAAATAATCAGCAGTGAAGTTAAAAATCAATGGCGGAAACATGGGAAATCGCCTGCCAAACACTCCATTGATGTGGTAGTAGTAAGCTTCCAGTATAGCGATGTTTGGGTTTTCAAAACTTATGTTGTTCATGCTTGAAGCCAAACGGGTTCCATTGGGTCCCTCGCAGGACTGGCCGGACAGACATGGAAATGTGTTTATGGAGAGAGTGATCATCATGCGAGTAGAAATTTTCAGTGGAACTTTGAGGGGAAATTTCTGAGGCAACCCTCTAATGTTACTATAGAAGTTAAAAGCTGCCTGCGTGTCATTATAGGAGGGGATATGGGGTAATGAGAGAGATGAAGATGCGTTATATTTCTCTTTGTACTGAACAATAGCTGTGGTTGTGGTGTTATCGAATGCAACTCCAATCCCATTTGAATATGCCTTTGCTGCTAAATAATACTGATTTGGCTCCTGGTTGGCATATAACAAAGCATCCATCGTTTGGCCTGGAGCTATTGCGATGCAATCTCTAGTCAATGGCTTCGTGTAGCTTCCATCTGCTCCCACGAGCGTGAGCTTGTGATTTGAAACAGACACAAACAGAATCAAGTTCATTGCAGCATTAACCATACGAAGAAGGTAAGTCTTCCCTTCTTGTACAACGAACTTGAATGTTTCTGAATGTTGCAGAAAACTCAGAGATGTTATTAGGAATAACCAAAAATCACACCAGACGTACGTACTATAAGCTCACTCACGCTAGCTTGTAGTAGGTTGTTTACCTACCTGAGTTTGAGCAAGGATAAAGATCACCTGGCTGGCCGTTTATAGTGATTGCATCAGAATTACTTGGAGTTCCTCCAGAGTCCAGGAACTCAGTATACACCTTCATCACATCCTCCTTCCACCATTCTCCTACAAAACAAGAGAACCATCTTTCCGAAACTTCGTCATTATATGATAACTATGTTAATCAATTATTGCAGACTTTGATATCTACCAAATATGATGGGTATGTCTGCGTCAGGTCTGGGAAAAGGGTAGGCACAGTTCTTGTTGGGATAGACTATGATAGCTCCATGGACAGTGGCTCTGGACCAACCACTGTGAGCATGCCACCATAAGGTTCCTTCCTCTGTAGAGAAAACCACCTTTTGCCTGAACCTCCCCTCTGGTTGTATAGGACATTGTGTGATGTATTCAGGACCATCTGACCATGGATTCCTTGGCTGCTTCACCCCGTGCCTGCCATAAAATTGATTAAAGTTAATCTCTGGAACCTCAAAAGTGACTATGAAGTTAATCTCTGGAACCTCAAAAGTACCAGTGTAAAGTGATGTTGTGCCTGCCTCTGTTATACACATCGACGTAAACTGTATCACCCTTGGAAGCAGTAATTATAGGCCCTGGAAATTCTCCATTCACTGTCAATATGCTTTTTGTGCCGCAAAGTCTTGTATATTTAGCTTCTTTCACCTGCAACATATACATCAGATATTTATGAAATCAAAAGATGGCTGACGGCTTGCCCTGTTTGTTTATGCTGGGAGACTTACAATGAAAGTGTAATGTTTCAATTTTTGAGAATGAACACAAACTAATCTGAAGAAACAAAGAACGGAGATGATGATCACTGGTTTGGAAAACCACATTTTCATGTGTTTGTGTCTGAGAGAGAGACTTCTGCCTCTGTTTCTGATTTATCGGAAGCATCTCTTCGGATCCTGCTAGATCTAGATAGGTAGATATGTCGTCGAAATCATCACATTCCCATTTAAGTACTAATTTTAACTTCAATGAAGTCATCTAAATTTGTCACATCTAACGGATATTAAATTGTTTCCAAACCCGTCAACGGATGGCTTGCGTGAAAGAAACTCCTTATTCCTTAATGAGGTTTCAGTTTGAGTTTTGTTGATAGGGAAACTTAAACTTCATACTGGGTAAGCTACTCTAGTTTTAGGTTCACTAATGGTTAAATTTAGATTAACCTCTAAATTTATTATGATGATGTGGTTGTTTTTCTTCTTTTTCAGTCATGTTATACGAACGGAAAATGGCGGCAGTGAATTTGTACTAGAACCATTTGAGAACTATAACGATTGGACTATAAACTTAAGAAGTATAGAGGTAGTGACCCATAAGCTTGAAAACTGATATTTATACATATCTACAAATTAATATTCCCTTGGTTTTATGATACTACTCAGAGTCAGGTTGGGTCCTTAATTAGTATTTTTTTCATCTGACTGAATCCATGTGGATGCATCGGATGGTCTATTCCTGCAACCATGTTTGTTCCTTGAAATACTAGTATTTTTGCACCATGACTCAAAACCTTCACCTCTGTCCCTTAGTTCGGTATCTCTGCTGTGAAGTTGAACACCGACGGCGGAAATATGGGAAATCGCCTTCTAATTAAACAAGTCAAACAGTAGTAATTTGGCTTCTGTCTGGCATCAAACAGGACATCCATTGGCTGTTCTGGACCTATGACGATGTAATCTCGTGTCAATGGCTACGTGAATCTGCCATCGGACCCCACAAGCTTACGTTAGCCTGTGACTCGAAACAGACAAAGAGGGAATCAGGTTCATCGCAGCCTTAATCATACGACGAAGGCAAGTCTTCCCTTGGTCCACTTTCACCTTGAACGTTCCTGAATGTTGCAGATAACGTCGTTGTATGCTAGGCACCTATATAGCCTCACATTAGATTCACACACACGCGCGCACACACAAAAGGCGATGAGATTGAGGTTGGGAAATAAATATACCGGTGTAGAATGATGTTGTATCTTCCCTTGTTATAAACCTTGGCGTGGACACTTTTCACCCTTGTGCTGCAGATTCTTGTATATGATGAAGTCTCTTCCACTTGCAAGGTATTATAAAAAAGATCACCAATAAAAAAGAAAAGAGGCAGGCAATAGATAGACGCAATGTTAGGGGACTTGGAACAAAGTTTTATAACGTTCCTGTGTAAGCATGGGGGTGAACGGCAAGCGATGGCATGAATAACCGGAAAATAATCAAGAAGATCATTTTCTTGGAAAAGCACATTTTCTCTGATTTACGAGGGCGTAAGTTGGGCTTTGGTGCATATGAAGTACGGGACCTATGTATAATTCTATCCACAGTATATGAAACAGGGATAAGATCATTTTCCGTGTGTTACTGCTTTTTAAACCAAACGAGTTAAAAAGTAGCACAACATAAACAAGTCATCAATCAGATATTTTAAGCAAAACATTTGTACTGTTGATATTTTGAGAATCTTACTGAAGACAGTCATGAGGTGAACTTCATTCAAGCATAGTAACTCCCACTCATTAAATTATTTTATTAATTAAGTTAATTAGATTGCCCAAAAATGGATGCCCGTGTGAACTAGCACTCAAAGTTTTGCTTCGCCTATAAGCAGTTAACACTAATTTTGAGAAGCATGACTGGGATAATAGAAATGAATGTTTAAAAAGAAATTGCCAATAAAGTAAAGAATAAATGTTGTCCTTAGGTTTGCCAGGCCACTAAAAAAACATGATATCCTTAATATGTAAGATATGACTTTTAACTTTGTAGACAAATTAAATGGACCCTACCAGCTACTTAGTTAATAGTTAGTGCGCAACTTAATTTATACATATATAAATATGCGTGGTTTAAGCTATCTTTTGTTCTGTAAGGAAAAGTTGAAATCCAAAGCCAACTTAAGCACTTGGATGATGTCTGAAAGAAATTTAGTTACAGCGTCGCCGAGTTGACACAGATCTGATCACTAATTGAGTGCACTTTTTAAATATAACAATTACAGTTGTGATGTAATTATACAGAAGACATATTTGTAATATAGTTATTTAAATCTATTGATTTGGAAAAAACTAAGAAAAGAATTCAAATATTGCGTTACAAAGCAATAAATTAAATCTGCACTCCAATGCAAACCAAATATCTCTCATCATAATAAAATATATACATGATCATGAGGAAATTTAAAACTCACCAATTACTAGTATGAGTTCCAAATAATAATATTATCGCAATGCATTTATAATAGCACCAAATTATTAACATGAAACATTAATTTCAAGAGGGTTACACTATGCCCAAACAACTGAAACGCAGTAAAAATTTGTCAAGGAACTCCATCCCCTTAGCTTCTTTTTAGTCTCAATGAATGAAACTCATAATTATTTAATCTGTGCAGATAATTATAATGTTTATTCAAAAAATACTATTGTGCGTGTTTGTGTGTGTAAGAATCAATTCCTTGTCAACCGAAATTGGTTTAAATCCCACGAGCTTATTAGCAAACTCTCTCTCTCTCTCTCTCTCTCACATAAATGTGTGTGTGTGTGTGTGTGTGTGTGTGTGTGTGTGTGTGTGTGTGTGTGTGTGTATTGTTAAAAAGTTGCTTCATGCGATGAGATGCTTCAAGAACAAGGAGGCAGATATTTGGGGGGCGGAAGGATGCTCGTTTGTGGGGTACCTCCGTCTCTCACAATAACAACAGTATCCATTCCCCAGCTTGTGTGTCTATCAAGATGACAATGCATATACCATACCCCTGCACAAGCGTACCAAATCATTTGTGAGAATATGTATGTGTGTGTATTACTCTTTTAGTTTAAAATTATGAAGTACTTTTGTTTATTGATTTATGTCCCCGGTAAATCAGTTAATGTAATTCAATACGTAATCATCTATATATCTTTACTCTCCTTTGATATGGCGTCTTCCATTGAAAAAAAAAAAGAGATGAATGGCTCTTCATTTTCATACTTCACATCGAGGGCTTTTTTTTTTTAATAAAAAGAAGGTTATTAATTACATCTTTTGAAAATACTAAAATACCTTGTGTTTTTAAAACATATTACTTCACGCGGAAAAGCGTTTATTATTTCAAAAAGCTATACAAAGACTTTATGGATAAAAAACCGACATGGGAACCACTTAAGATTTGACCTAGAAAGAAACTTTCTATGACAGTTAAATAGTCTATCTAATTACGTAAAATATTCAGTCGTTGAATAAACCTAACCTAGCTAGTTTGAATTATAGAGATAGTGGTTGAGAGAACTTGCCAGGATTATCAGCGACAAATCTCATTGCAACCCATCCATTTTTGGGAAGACCAAAGGTGTTAACTAATGGAGGATCGATTAAGTTATAGGAGAGAGGGTCTGTGACATTGTTGAAATTTCCAAGGCCAAGTCCAACCACATAGAAGCTGAAGCCATGAAGATGAAGAGGGTGATTCTCTGCACTGAGAAGACTCGTTCCTTGCCACACTATTTCCACTTCATCATTATAATCCAACATTATTACCCTCGTTCCTGTACTTGGGATTAGTGTGCTGTTTGCCACGTCACCTGTGAAGTTGAAATACAGCGGCGGTTCATCTGGGAAGTCCTCTGTGAATACCCCAGAAATGTTCCTGCATTGTTTTATATATAAATAATTTTAGGGAAAAGAAAACAAGAAAATAGCCTGCTTTGTCTAATATATTGTGAAAAACCCCAGAAATATAAAACAGCAGTATATGAATGGACATTATATATAGACATACCAATAGTATGCTCGTAGAATATCGATGTTGGGAACCCGAAAGCTTATGTTGTTTAAGCTTGAAGACAATCTATTTCCATTAGGACCCGAACAATTTGAATTAGGGCAAGGCAACACATTTACAGACACTGTCATATAAATTCTTCTGTTGACATTTTTGGGAACATCCACTGGATGATCTTTACTCGCCAAACTCCTCAATCTCTTGCTGAAGTTAAACGCTGCCCCTGAGTCATTCAAAGCAGGAAGCACAGGGAAGGGAATAGCTCTAGAAGATGAAGATGATAAATTATTTGAATTGGAATAATTATCATTATTATTAGTGCAATTTCTGTACTGAAGAATTGCCGTTGTCGTGGAATTATCATAGACTGCATTTCCATCATAAAAGGGAGAAGCGGCAATGTAATACTGATCAGGGTTCTGATCTGCTGTGACAAGCACATCCATGGTTTGTCCTGGGCCGATCATGATGAAGTTGGTCTTTAAGGGTTTTGTGTAGGACGCATCGATCCCCACAAGTGTGAGGTTGTGATGAGCAATCCCAAAAAAGTGTTCTTCGTTCATAGCAGAGTTTATTACGCGAAAGAGATAGGTCTTTCCGTAATCAACCAATGAACGGTACGTTGTTTCTGCATAATATATATGATTCAAATCAATAAATTGAAATTTATCAGTTCCATTAGTTGCTTTCCAGCTAAACAAATCCTTTACTTTAACTTGGAATTTATGTTACTGCATATCTAACCAAATTAAAGGACATGCTCGTTTGAAAATTACTTAATCGAGAGGTATAATAATTCAGCTGTCAAAAGGATGGTTAAACTTGTCTAAGATTTTCCCGGAAAGAAAATTCAAGCAAGTACGGCTGGATAAAACTCCCTCATTGGTGGTCATAAAGAAGTTGACAATTTTAACACTATCTAATTCCAAAGTTTATCATGAATGAGAATACAACTTGGTACGTACCTCTTGAACAATTATAGAAATCTCCAGGTTCACCGTTGATGGTGTAAGCATCAGATTGGTTGGGCTCGCCACCACTTACCAGTGCAGAATTTATTATTTGCTGAACATCCCCCTTGTACCATTCCCCTGCACAGCCATCACCTTAATTTATCATCATGTACTCGGCTAGATAATAACTAGCTAGTTTTCAACAAAAATGTGTATCATCAATGTCGAAAGATATGTACTGACCAATGATGACTGTTTCTTGTCCATGAGGTTGAGGAAAAGGATAAGAGGTGTTTTTTGCAGGGAAGATGAGGATAGCGCCATGGACAGTGGCTCGACTCCAACTGCTATGAGCATGCCACCAGAGAGTTCCTTCTTCAGACGTAAATGTCAGCTTCTGAGTGAAACTTGTTCCCGGCGGGATAGGGCACTGTGTTATGTTCTCTGGTCCATCTGACCATGGGTCCCTTGGTTCCTTTACGCCATGCCTGTTTCGTTAATTTCCTCTCAAAGCCATATCAGTATCTAACAGCTACATATATATCGTAACTTTGAAGAGAGTTACGCTCATAATCATTCATTCATGGGCAAACTAACTAATTACTGACCAATGAATAGTGACCCCGTAGGTTCCATTATTGTGGACAGTAACAAAAGCTGTATCGCCTTTCTGAACACGAATGGTTGGCCCTGGAAAGCTCCCGTTCACTGTTAATATGCTTTTTGTGCTGCACAACTTCGTGAAGTTCTTTTCTTCCACCTGTGCGTAAATATTCACATTTCACACAAGAACAAGTTTGATATATAGTTGAAAATTTCAAAACAATATAAACTATATGTGGTGAATAAATTGATTTAGGTTATGAAACGTATAAATATTAATAAGTATAAAATGTCACATCGTCAAGAAAAAGAACTGGTAAAGATGTGACGAATTTTCATAGTTGGTGGGATTTTATTTCAAGACTTACTACGAAATCATAGTGATGAACGTTGCCTTGGCTCTTGCAAAAAATCATGAAGCCCAGAAAAGCTATTAGCAAAGCTTGATTTCCCAAGTAATCTCTCATCTTGCTTGCTCTTCTTATTAGCAGTACTTGGAGACAACAAAGCATGTATAGCAGCTTTATATATAATTTCAAGACATTCAGATTTTACCATTATTGCAAGTTACATGTACCGCAAGCTTGGATCTGATGTGTTTCTCAACGATCGATTTTTTTATTTATTTATTCATCTTCTTTGCAAATATATATTATAAAATAGACACTGCTTTGGTACCACTTTATTCTCACTTGAAAGCAATGTTTTCTTTGTAATATATCCTCCTACTTTCCCTAAAGTAGGGTCTACTACTATAATATATCTTATGTTTACTGAAAAAAAAAATTTAGATTCCTAGTAATTTGCAAGATCTCTGATCTAAACATTATGTTGCACAAAAAATGAGTACATAACTTACTTAGTATTGGAGCTATGCTAATTTAATAATGAGTCATGGATTTGAGTTCTAAGTAAGCAAACGTGTAAACGCTTATTATCCCTATGGTCCTTCCCTATCCAAATTATTTGAGGTCAAATATGGCTTCTAGATACTAATTTGGTGGTTTGATGCCTAGTTTTTTTAACAAAATAATATTATGCTGCACATTGATGACGGAATAATTGAGGGATTGACAAATACGCAACAATAAGTATATCTTTGGTCGAATCAGAATATTGATTAATATTTATAAATTACAAAAATATTTATAAGTTGCCAATCAACAAAATCCTTACGCTGCATTAAGATTTGAACCCATAATTTTCTCAGATATGAGTTGCATCTTAATCATCAAGACAATTCTTTATTTTTAAATATTAAAAAAGAATTTAACCAGAAAATATTAAAAACGCCATTCTTTTCATCACACATAAAATATAGTTATGTATATAATATCACTTTAAACAATAGTTTGTATTAAAAAAATTCGTCATTTATACTTTTACTATTTATGTTTCCATTTCATTTATGAAAATCAGAATATATAATTTATTTAAAAGTATTAAACTTTACTTTTTTGGAAGATAAAATTATCTAATAATTTATTTCTTTTTGTCATTTTATTACACAGAAAAAGGGTCTATTTTAACTTTTGACTTTTGGTAAAGGGGCAAAACAAAAAGCAATTCTATTATCTTTTTCTATTCCCATCATCTTTTTTTTTTTTCCTGTGTTTTTTTGCCAACCCCTAGAGTTACATTACTTTGCTTGCGTCTATGATTTAAATTCCCTGGTTCCATAGTGGAGAACAAGTTTGGTCCCCATCACTATACATTGTGCGTCCTGACCTAATAATATTAATTAACTAATAAAGTACTAACTCGTTGAAAATAACACCCCAACCTTTGGTTAATTACTTACCTGAAAAATGCTTTTAGTAGCGTCTAAGAAGCTTGAATATATCATTCGCGTTCTTTTCGCTCACCACTCTTCCATCTGTAAGATTTGACATCTTGACGTTCTTGTTTGGCTCATGGAAATGCAAACAGATTTTCGTGGTCATCTTAAAAGAAAAGCATCAATATCCATCGTTTATCAAAACTTTATTAATTAGTATTTTTATTTTGATGAAGGCTAAATATAAAAAAATAAACTTTTAATTATTATTTGTTAAAAAATTATTACTTTGAGGTTTCAATTTAAGCTGCCCCGACTCCCAATTATCATTTTAAGAACCAGAATGGGAAGATGAGCACCAAAGTTTGACGCTAAGCTTACACTGTTAAATCAAATTTTGTGTTATTTGAACCATTCAAATTAAAATATGCTGGTTTAAGTTTAATTGAATTTTCTCCTTATATTTTTACTGCTTTTATCTTAATAGATTCAACATATAAATTAAAAATATTTTTTAATTGTCATTCTATTTTTTTTTAAAAACCATCACTTGAAAATCAAGAATCAAAGAATATGTTGAATGTATGTTGTCCAAATTATGATTGAATGGTTTGGATCTCATCTCATCAAGAACAGGCATATGATATGACGCTCATCTTGAACATCATGATGAGCACCAAATTAGGAAGCTTGGCTCAAACCATTAGCGCAGATTCTATGTTATTTGCCTTGAACTAAGAATGCGCTTGAAAGTTTGGTATTAATTGTTTGAATAAACATGAAAGCAATTCAATCATTGAAGTTTGATTCTGTCTTATGGTCAAAAAGGGGCTGACAAATTTTAGGCTGAGTATGAAAAATCTGTGGGATCGGAGGATTGGTAGCATGATTTTTCCGCAACTAATTTGCTTAACGTGAAAGGCGCTATTCCTTTTTTTTATTTAAAAATAATAATAATTAGCCACTATATTTAACAAAAGAATTATACGGATCATCATTAATTCAAAGGATCGATCTATGTTGACCACTTCCTTTTAAGAATATAACAAGGAAATTTAACAAAATAATTGCAAAAATGACCCTCACCGAACTTGTCGCAGCAAATTAAAGTATGTAGTATTATATAACGAATGATTAGAATGCAAAGCCAATTTAAAAGAAATTAAAGTTTTTTTTAAAAAATAATTAGCCACTATATTTATCAAAAGAATTATACGAATGGAGTAACATTGATTCAAAGGATCGATCTATTTTGACCACTTCCTTTTAAGAATACAACAAGGAAATTTAACAAAATAATTGCAAAAATGTCTTATAAAGTTACAGCTTCATCAGCAAGACGATACAAATTAAGACAGCTTAAGCAAGCTGGCACAGAGAGAGAGAAGGAACCCTTGCGATGAGAGAAAGTTGTGAAATATATATAGGATCAAAATAAGCACTAGATAATTATTAATGCATGATTCAAAATATTATTAAAGTAGAAACGTAATAAAAATTTATCAGGAATTCGGTTCCCTTCTCCTCAGTCAGAGATCAAACTCAGGCTTTTTAATTTCTGGATAATTATCGATGATTCAAAATATTATAGAAGTAGAATGACGTAATGGCTTCATTTGGAGCAAGGAGGCATATACTTCGGAGGTGGAAGCATGCTTGTCTCCTTGGTTTTTCCATCCCTCACAATGAGCACAGTTTCCATACCCCAGCTACCGTGTCTCTCAAAATGACAATGCATAAACCATACCCCTGCAAATTTATGCACAAAATTATGAAACCTCTCTATACTAAACATTATCTGTTGGTCCGATTCAAATAGAAATATTAATGTGCAAAAACTCATGTTAAAAGTTAATAGATTCAAATTCAGGTCATTCCTACTGATCAATGGAACAAATTATTAATAATTTGTTGGAACAATATAGTGGTAAAAGGTAATGTAGAGGATGTACCAGGATTGTTGGCAACAAATCTCATGGCCAGCCAACCATTAAGGGGGAGACCAACAGTGTTAACTTCTGGAGGATCAACGAGGTTATAGGACTTAGGATCTGTCTTATTGTTGAAAACTCCCAGCCCTTGTCCCACAACGTAGTAGCTGAAACCATGAAGATGTATTGGGTGATTCTCAGCAGTATTCAATGAATTATTCGTTCCTTGCCACACTATCTCTACTGAGTCATTGCAGTTCAGCATTATCACCCTCGTTCCCGTGGTCGTAAACGCACTACTGTTAGGATCTGTGAAGTTGACATAGTGTGGAGGCTCTCTTGGGAAGTCCTTAGTGAAAATCCCCGTTTTATTCCTGCAAATTCAACTTGTAGCTTGCGTTAGAAGCTATGTTTTTATTTGTATGCTAAAACATCCTTTATAACACAAAAAGTGCAAATTCGAGTTGAATTTAGATGCAAAATCGACACAGAAACAGTCAATGAACAAGCAGTGAGAATATCGACAAGTAGTATAATCTAAATTTTAGCACGTATCACTAATAAGCATCCAATATATCAATACTTGGAGTCTGAAACGACACGTTGTTCAAACTAGAAGCGAGCTTAGTGTTCCTAGCACAAGTGGTAGCAATGCATGCCAGACTACTCGCAGCGACTGTCATATAAATCCTCCTATTTACTTTCTTTGGAACTTCAATGGGATGAATCTTACTCCACAAACCCCTCAGTCTCTTAGTGAAGTAAAAAGCAGCAGAAGAATCATTATGTTCAGGGAAATCGGGAAACACCAACGGAGGACGCTGATTATGAGAAGTATTGTAGCTGCCTCTGTACTGCAAAATGGCTGTGGCCGTGGTGTTATCGTACGGAGATGCGCCGTCAAGGAAGGGCGAAGCGACCATGTAGTAGAGACCTGTTTCCTGGTTAGCTTTGAGCAGAACGTCCATGGTCTGGCCAGGGGTTATCACAATGTAAGGGGTGGCAAAGGGCTTGAGGTAGGCTGCGTCTGTCCCTGCGAGTGTGAGTGTGTGGTTGGTGATTCCGAAGTAGTGGTTTTCATTCATGGCGGCGTTGATTATGCGAAGGAGATAGGTTTTCCTTCGCACCACTGAAAAACGATGCGTGGTCTCTGCAACATAGATAGACTCCATCAGTTGACAAACCATTTTTAATGATCACTTAACTTCTAGGCTTGAACTTCACCATTACTTGACCAACCTTCGAATGACCTAATTTTTAAATTGCCTTAGTCTGTGATTAGTTAAGTTCATCAATTTATCGGTCCAATCTGCTGGATCAGTCCAAATATTAAAACTTTGATAACTTTGGTAAATTATTTTACTCTTAGAACAGGCGTACAAGTCTCCAGGTTGGCCATTTATGGGGTAAGCACTGGAAGTATCTGGTTCTCCACCAGTGGCCAAAGCGTTGTTTATAATTGTCATCACGTCTCCTTTGTACCACTCCCTAACAGCATACAAATTGTTGATGCAAAATAGTCCGACATTACGAGGATTAAACAAAGATCGAGAGAGAGACATAGATAAACACAAAATGGAACGGACCAATAATGAGTGTTTCAGGGCCATAGGGCTCAGGGAAAGTATAAGAAGCTCCACGAGGAGGTTTGATAACGATGGCTCCATGAACAGTGGCACGGGTCCAATCACTGTGAGCGTGCCACCAGAGAGTCCCTTCTTCGGAAGCCAAATTGATTCTCTGAGTGAAGCTTGTTCCTGTAGGGATGGGGCACTGTGTTATGTTTT